AAACAAACCCTAGAGTGTGCACAGTAGAAATCTAGGTATGAAAAAGATGGACTACAGAGGTGGTTCAGCAGACAAAAGCACATGCTGTGTGTGTTAGTCACCTTTCCATGGCTGGGATAAAACACCAGGACCAAAGCGACTTACAGAAGGGAGGGCTTATTTGGGCTTGTGGTTCCGGAGGGAGAAGAGTCCATCATGGCCTAATAGACATATGGCTATGGCCAATCCTTGGGTGCTACTAGAGCATCCCAGAACCAGGAATCATTTCCATCATGTGGCATGGCTCACAGGTCCTTACCGTGTTAAAGCCAGTACCATCAGCGTTTCCCTTTCTGATGGTGCTTGTTTCACGGGACGGTTTTCCTCATGCCAGAGTAGGAAGAGATTAGATGTGTGAAATATAAACCTCAATACTAAAAGTGATCTCTCATGGTGATGAGATTAGGGGCCATTAAATTCTTCCTGCCTGCCACCTTCTCTAGTTCCTAAAATGAGTGTGTATTACTTTAGTGAGCTAGACAAGTGTACTATTTTGAAGTTTTCATTTTATTTTTAATTATATGTATATGTGTGTCTGTTTGTGGGTATGTGCACATGTGTGCACCTGCATGTGGAAGCCAGAAGAGGGCATTACAGCCGGGCGTTGGTGGTGGCACACGCCTTTAATTCCAGCACTCGGGAGGCAGAGGCAGACCGATCTCTGTGAGTTCGAGGCCAGCCTGGTCTCCCAAGCGAGTGCCAGGATAGGCTCCAAAGCTACACAGAGAAACCCTGTCTCGAAAAACAAAACAAAACAAAACAAAACAAAACAAAACAAAAAAAGAGGGTGTTACATTCCCCTGGAACTGGAGTTATAGATGGTTGTTCAGTCTGTGCATTTAAACTTGAGTCATCTAGATAAAGGTACTATTTTCAGTCAGAAGCCACAGGAGCTCCACAGTTCCAGGACTGGCTGTGATCTGAATAGCATTAAGGAAACAGTGAGGAGGAATCTGCAGGAAGGCAGGAGGCGCTAAGCGCTGTGAGGGAGACAGAAGAGGAGCACACAGGAATCAGACCCACAGCTGCAGAGCAGAAGGGTGGGTCTTGCTTGCAGGGGCTCTTAACTTTTCTCAAACAGCACTGTAACACAGCAGTGAATGGCTCCAAACTCAAGGGCACAATTTGAGCCAGAACTTGATCCGGGTGACCATTCTGCCCTCAGATGGGCTCCCTGGTATGTCTAGGGAATGCTGGCTAGTGACCAGGGCATCTCAGCTCTTTGCTGTTTGTCTCTGGTGTCCACCCAGCAGGCCAATGGGCTCCTGGGTGAAGCAGGAAGTGCAGGAGGAAATATGGGGCCCTAGGTTTGTGGGCACCTAGACTCCTTACTTCTGCTGTATCAGAGTAGGCAAAACAGGTCATGAGTCTGCCGTAGGCTCAAGGGGAAACAGACTCTCTCTTTAGAGAGAAAAGCTCTGAGGTAAGAGGATGTGAACCCAAGGGAGGAATGACCACATATCCACTTCAGGCCTGAAGCTGATGCAATCAATGCTGGGGGCCTCTGGAGGAAACGGTTTCCATTGTGAATACTGAGTTTGGCATGGGGTCTTGAAAGGAGCCCCATCCAGCTAGGGGTGTGACAACTCAGCTTCATTGACTATGGGACAAAGCTCTAAAAGATCTACTAAGTGCTGCCGAGAAGGGAGCAGGAGGTCAGGGAGCCCCCACTGTGATGGCAGGGTCAGCATTTGGGGACAAGTCCAAGAAAGTATGAATGACAGTCACTTCTTGTCACTGAGAGATTTAAGTCCGTGGGTTATTTTCAATTTTAACATTTTTTAAAGTAATGACTTTTTATAATAATAAAACGATTTATTATTATAGTGTGTGTGTGTGTGTGTGTGTGTGTGTGTGTGTGTGAGAGAGAGAGAGAGAGAGAGAGAGAGAGAGAGAGAGAGAGAGAGTGCCACATGTGTGTGCTGGTGAAGGTAGACCCCCTGGAGCTAGAGTAACAGCTGGTTGTGAGCTGTCTGACTTGGAACTGGGAACCAAGCTCAGGTCTTCTGGAAGAGCACCATGTTCTTTTAACTACCAAACCATTCCTCTAGCCCCTATTTTTTTGGTTTTTCGTGACAGGGTTTCTCTGTGGCTTTGGAGGCCATCCTGGAACTAACTCTTGTAGACCAGGCTGGTCTTGGTCTCGAACTCACAGAGATCCGCCTGCCTCTGCCTCCTGAGTGCTGGGATTAAAAGTGTACGCCACCACCGCCCGGCCTCTAGCCCCTATTTATTATTTTGTGTGTGGTATGCTTGGGTATGGGTGGTGCATGTGAGTGCAGGTGTCCATGAAGGCTAGAAGAGGACATCAGATCCCCTCGAGTTGTAGTTACAGACAGCTGTGAGCTACCTGATGTAGGTGCTGGGAACTGAACCTGGGCCCTCTGCAAGAGCAGTTATGTGGTTTTAACTGCTCGGCTCTCTCTCCAGCATCTCTACCTGGCTTAGTCTTTGGCTATTAGTTTTCATGGTACACTTGTTTTCTTTTAAAGTTATTTACATTTATTTGTTTGTTGCATTCTGGGAGGGAGTGGGGCAGTGTGTTTGTGCCTCAGTGTGTGTGTGGGGGTTGTAAGATAGTCTGCAGGAATCAGGCTTTCCCCTACTACCATGTGGGCCTTAGGAATTGAACTCAAGTCATCAGGCTTGGTGGCAAGTGCCTTCACTCACTGGGCCACCTGGTTGGCTCTGCAGTACACTTCTTGTGGATCTTCTAGTGTGGGAAAGATGCAATCTGGACCCAGGGCCTTGTGCGAATGGTGAACTCTCCATCACTAAAGAAATGCCCTGTCAGTCAGGGGCACATTCTACAGAAATGGGGTGATTCCCCAAAGACCATATGTAGTTTCAAGTCTAAAGGGATCAAGAGGGCAAAAGTCTCTCCTTATAACCAGGGGCTCCTATGGACAGCACACAGATGCACACAAACCCGTAAGCACATACACACAGATAGACACATGTACACATAACATATCATTACATATCACATGCAGACAATACACGTGTATACACAATTCCCGACACAATAATACATGCAATGTGAGAGCGTGAGTGTGTGTGTGTGTGTGCACATGAACACACATTTTGTAAACAGGCTGCTTTAGGGAAAGGGAGAATCTTCAATGGTCTGCTCTATGGGAACTCATGTCTAGCCTGGAACTTACACAAAGTTGAGGCTGGCCTTGATCCTTAGGTATGCACCACCATGAATAGCTTCAATGCCCTGTTTTACCAGAGGGGATATGGCAGCCTGGGAGGTAACTGAGTTATGCCTGAATCAATAACCTAGCCAGGTCTGGGGCCCCTAATGGGACTTTGAAGACACCAGCAGAGCTCCTGAATCTCCTGTTCTCAGAGCCCACAGAGGTCTTTGTTTGAGGTGACAGTCTCCTTATCACAACCTCTTGGTTAAGTTTGTGTTCTTGATTCAAAGGTTGGCCCTGCATCTTGGATGGGCCAGTTTGTGAGGACCAGAATCAGAGGTCTGGCCACAGGCTCCAGACAGACAGCTGTTTTTTTTTTTTTTTTCTCCCCTTCATCTGCCCATGAAAGGACCCTCCAGGAACCCACCCCTTGGTTTTTAGGGTGCCCCCAGCCTGTTGATCTCTTCCCTGAAAGGCACTCTCCATGCGTTATGGAGGATGCCTATCTGAGCACGCCTGTGCAGTGCCCTAGGCAGAGACCTGTTTGATCAAGTGGTGAGTGAGCCCTTGTTGGCTTTTCTTTATGGTCTGGAAACATGTAAAGTAAGTGGCCATCTCTGGCCACATCCTGGAAAAGTGGCTTATCAGAGGCTGGTGTCTTCAGTGTAAACAACCCTCCCACCATGCCTCCTCCATTCTGGTTATCCTGACCAGGGCTTGGGGGCACTGTGAAGCCACAGTGTCACAGGGTGTGTGTGTGTGTGGCACCTACCAAAAGTGACTGTACTCTAAGAGCTTGCTGGAAAGCGCCGTGTGTGATGGAGGAGACATGGTGTCAGAATGAAGAGGGAGACCCTCGAGGCTGCCCCTTGTTCGTTGCTTTTGTATTTGGACAAATGCTAACAGTGAGGAGGGCGTGGGAGCCAGCGTTAGAAGTTATGAATAGCAAACTGATTTCTTTGGGGGCGGGGTAGGCCCCAGGCATTCACTAAAGTTCTGGGGAATTCAGGTTAACTTCTCTATTACCCAGTGGGCTGGGGCAGATCCGTCAGTGTGTCTCAAAGCTGAGCCTCCCTTGACACTGGGTAAGCAGATGCTTGCTTGTACAAGCTAATGACATGAGCCCCTCTCTTTGTAATTTTGTAGGGGGTAGGGGCACTGAGAACCAAACTTAAGGCCTTGCTTATGTGAGGCAAGAGCCCTGCTATTGAGCAATGCCTCCTCCCCTCTCTTTAGACAGGTGTCACTATGTAGCCCAGGCTAGCCTTGACTTAACTATGTAGCTCAGGTTCTTGTCAAACTTTCAACACCCTTGCCCCTCCCCCCGTTTCTGCCTCTTGAGTTTTGGATTACAGCTGTGCCCCAACACCCCTGATGAGGCTGGGTTTTAACACCTCCTCGGTTTCCTCCTGTCTCCCCATTCCGGTGTCTGTTCTAGAATCTCTCTGCTGATACCTGTCAGTCTATGGGACCTCTGGCCATTGGGCTCCAGCCACTCTGGCTATAGCTGAAGTGACCCCGAATCAGTGGATCTGTATGTACAGAGTAGGAGCCCCCCCATCCCCCGGTTCTCTTCTTAGAGAAGTCACTCTGGCTCTGGGCAGGGAGGTGTTTCTCAAACCTTCCTCAGAGTCCGGCTTCTCGCATTACATTTCACTCACTCTGCCTCCTTCCTCTTTCTGGTTTTATTCACCAGTGGGAAGCGGCAGAAGGAGGAAGTGCCCGGGTGAGGGAAATCAGAGGCCCAGGAGACGCCGGAGTGGAGCATGTAGCTCGTCCCTGCTGACAGACGCTACCGAGGCGAACGGGTGTGAGAAGATGCAGCTGGGGCTGCTGGTCCCCATCCTCTTCTGGATCTCAGGTGAGCACACGGATCACTGGTCTTGGGAAGACAGCAGAGCCCTGGTCGCTCAGGAGAATACCCGAGGGGTCTGGGCTGTCATTTTGTGAGTGTGCTCCCTCAAGGGAAAGACGTGAGCATGGGAGGAGGACACCGAGGGAAGAAAAGGAGGGACCTGCTATACAAAACTTAGGGAGGGTGACTGACGCCAGCTGGGACAAAAACGGTGAAAAGGAGGCAAGAGCCAGGGCCAAGGTAGAGGGCTGATAGGAACTTTCCTTGTAGTTCTTGTGTTTGGTGATGCGAGGGCTTCTAAGTAGCCAAGGCTGGCCCTTCAACTAGTGATCTTCCTGCCCCAGCCTCTATCTCCAAAAAGAAAAAAAAATACTTACATTATGATTCATAACAGGCAAAATTACAGTTATAAAGTACAACAAAAAGGATTTTACAGCTGGGGGTCACTTCAACACGAGGGACTGTATTAAAAGGCCACAGCATTGGGAAGGTTGAGACCTCCTGTTGTAGCGCATGCTGAGGTAGAGTGCAGAAGGGGGTTTTCTGTGTTGGGGTTGTAGGCTTGTGCCGTCACCCTTGATTTGATGTTGTTATACGCGAATGGATACAGTTTTGATTTCAAAGAAAGAGAATTTACTGTTGAACACGGTGATACAGTTCTAGGTGTGGTGGTGCACACCTTTAATCGCCTCATTTGGAAGAAAGAGGTTGGCAGAACTCCGTGAGTTTAAGACCAGCTTGGTTTACATGCCAGTTCCAGGCTAGTCAGGGATGCATCGTGAGAATCCCTCTTGAAATAAATTGCACAAAGCTACACAGAGAAACCATGTCTTGAAAAATCAAAAAAAAATGCATGAAATAATGGGTTCATGATGTCATTTTTTTATGTGTGTATATAATGTACTTGGATCTTTCTACAGATTTCCTCCCTTCTACTTTCATGTCTATTTTGTTTTTAAAAAATCTAGATTTTTGCACATGAGAGAAAACATGTGATATTTGACTTTCTGATCTGGGCTATTCTCTTTAACATGCTGCTCTCCAGTGAAATGTACTTTCTTGCCAACATAACCGAGTATATATTCATCTGTCAATGGACCTTGGTCCATGGTTTGGTGATGGTGGATAGTGCTGCAATATAAATGGATCTACAGTTATTCTGGTGCAGCAGTTCTTAGCCTGTCAGTTGTGACCCCATTGACAAACATCCAGCTCCAAAAATATTTATATTATGATTCATAATAGTAGCAACATCACAGGTATGAAATTGCAACAAAAATAATTGTATGGTCTTTGGTTCACCACAACTGTATTAAAGGGTCACAGCATCAAGAGGGTTGAGAACCACTTTCTAGGGCCTGAAAACCACAGAAGGGGGTTTTCTTGTTTTGTGTTCTGGTGGTTTCCACTGTGTCTTTGGGATGCTCCTCTCAGTTTGAAGTATTATCAGCAAAAAGCTTTCAATTTTACACCCCTAGTGCAGACATTTCCCAGGGCTCTAGAATCTTATAGCTGAGTGTACTCAATGACATTTCAAATGTGGAGGTGGGAGAGATGGCTCAGCAGTTAAGAAGTTTTTCTTCTTCTTCTTTTTTTTTCCCCAAAGGCCCCAAGTTCAAGTCTTAGCACCCACTATTGGGTTTCTCAGAACTACTTGTAACTCCATCTTCAGGGGATCTGATGCTCTTTATGGATTCTGTCTCATGAACATAGCCATAAGCCCACACACATACACACACACACACACACACACACACACACACACACACACACACTAAATACATAAATAAATTCAGGCATAGTAAGGCACCGACTTAAAAAGAAAGAAGATAGGGAGAAAGAAAGAGATTTTAAATGCCCTGATCAAATCTTCCCAGATCCCTTTCTTCCCCGAGTTTTCCTGTCTTAGTGTTTGGCAACTCCGTATTTTCTTAGTGAGCAAACCTGGGGATATCCAATGACCTACTCCCCAACTTTGAATTTAAATCCGAAGTCCCTGCAGGTGGCTTACAAGGAAGGTGCTCATCACCTGACTCCTTTCTGCACAGCATTCTGGTCCCCCCTTTTCTCCCTTGCTTCCTTGCCTGGTTCAACCCCTTCCCCACATGGCTTTGAACACAGTAGGTTTGCTTGGCCTCAGAGCTTTCTGTCCCCTCTGTTCTAAGTGCTCTTTCCTATGTGGTCCCAGGCTCCTCACCTCCTCTGTGTCTTCATGTCTCACTGTGGGCTTCACTGGGGACCTTAATTAAAACTGTTGTTCCTGTTGAGGCCTGACCCACTCCACTCAGGAGGCATAGACAAAGGGAGTGGAAGTTCTAGGTCATTCTCACCTACAGAATCCAAGGCTTGAGTTATGTGAGACTCTGCCTCAAAAAGAAAACAAATACAAAACCAAAACACTGAGTACCTTGTGTTGTCCCCCACCCCACCCCAAGTCTGTGCTTCCCTCTCTCATCTTAGTAGAATGAAAGCTCCCAGAGGAAAGAGACTTTTGTCCCTAAAACCAGAGTGGGTACTTGATGGGGGAGGTCCTTCTGTGTATGTTTGTCTTATTGGTTGATAAATAAAGCACTGTTGGCCAATAGGGAAGCAAGTTAGGCAGGACTAGGAGAGAAAGAGGATTCTGGGAAATGTAGGAAAGGCAGAGTTGCCATGTGATCCCAGGGAAGAGAGGATGCTCCCTGATGTGGGTGCTCTGAACATGGGGTCCTCTGAAAGAGCAATGCGTGCTCTTTATCTCCAAGCCATCTCTCCCAAGATTCTTACAATTAACTGCAGAGGGTGTACATTGTTGATGGATGTGTACAATGGTGCAGCCACTCTGGAAAACAATTTAATGGCTCTTCAGAATATTAGATATGGTATTGCCACATGACCAAAGTGAACTGCAAACACACGCCCATGTAAAAGCTAAGAACACAAATGGACACAATAGTAATATTAATAATCTCTAAAAGGTGGGAACGAGCTAAATGTCTGACCCATTTTGATGCATGGTTAGGTAAAACATGGCATGCCCACACAGTCAAACATTACTCCATTAAAACCAGACTGAAGAACTAGTGACACAGGCTACAATATGGCTGGACTTCAAAACCACAGTGCCAGGGGAATAAGCCAGATGCCACCGTACCCTGTATGATATGTCTCATACGAAATGTCCAGACTAGGTGAGTCCCTGGGGCTAGGAAGTGGTTTAGTGTCAGTGGCAAGAAGGCTTCGAGACAGAAACCAAGGGAAGCACCTGCCAGTGGTGTGGGAGAGCTCTTCATGTTGACAAAAGAAGTTCTCGGGCTGGAGAGATGGCTCAGAGGTTAAGAGCATTGGCTGTCCTTCCAGAGGACCCAGGTTCAATTCCCAGCACTCACATGGCAGCTCACAACTGCCTGTAACTCCAGTTTCAGGGAATCTGACACCCTCACACCAATGCTCATAAAATAAAACTAAATAAATTCTTATGATTTTTTGGAGACAGGGTTTCACTGTGTAGCTTTGGAGCCTGTTCTGGAACTTACTCCATAGACTAGGCTGTCCTTGAACTCACAGAGCTCTGCCTGCCTCTGCTTCCTGAGTGCCGGGATTAAAGGCATATGACACCATTGCCCGGCTTTAAAATTAAATAAATTATTGCTTTAAAAAAGACAAAGGAGTTCTGTAATTAGACAGCAGAGATGGTCATAAAGCTGAGAATGTTCTAAAAACCTCTGGGCTGGGTGTATCACTGTATGTGAATTTTGTATCGGTTTTAAAGACAGGACAAGATAGATTCTCAGCTTTAAATGTACCAGCACCTTCCTCCATGCAGGGAAGACTAAACCCAGGACCTCACATATGCCAAGCAAACACTCTACCAACCGAGTTATATACTCAGTCCCCGTGTTTTGCTTTTTTGAGACAAGGTTTCCCTATGTAGGTCAGTCTGGCCTTGAACTACCTGCATAGTTCACAGTTCACACTGGCTTCTAGCAGGTGCTAAGATTACAGGCATGCACTACCACACCCGGAGCACAGGTTCCTGCTGTTGTTTTATGTGTGTGTGTGTGTGTGTGTGTGTGTGTGAGAGAGAGAGAGAGAGAGAGAGAGAGAGAGAGAGAGAGAGAGAATGCGTGTTTGCAGTGTGTGTGCATTGAGTGTATTTGTGTGAGTGGTTGTGGATGTGGAGGTCAGAGGACAACTTTCAGGAATCACATCTACCATGTAGGTCCTAGGGATAAAACCCAGGTCATCAGGCTTGGTGGCAAGGGCCTTACCCACTGAGCCATCTTGCTAGCTCCAAAAAATTATTTTTGTGAAGTAACATTGCAGTGTACCCCAAATCTTCCAAAGGTGAGAGCACAACATGTATTTTCAGAAGAAACCCCTCTCACCCCTGAGAACGCATGTGAAACTTCAAGGCAGGACACTGGAATCAGCATGGGATGGACACATAGGTCAAAGGAACAGAATGGAAAAACTATCCGGAACTCACACGTTTGCTTTTTGACAAAGGCACCCATGTGGTTCATGCAGACAATGGGACCTTGTGTGCCGGGGGCCAGAATATAGAATCAAAGTCATTCATCCAGGGTGGGGGACTACAGAAGCCCCCTGGGACCTCCAGCAACGGCCTCTCAGGGAGATCAGATGTGGCTTTTCGGAACTTCCTCAGGATGGGTACTAAGGCTCCGTGAAAACACGTCTTCTACTCCTCCCGCTCCACATCAGCACCGCGTGAGGATTGTAGGAAGAGGACCTTCCCAAACATGTGGATTTTGGGCTGGAGAGATGGCTCAGTGGGTAAGAGCAGTCACTGTGTGAGCAAGGGGACTTGAGTTCGGATCCCAGTGCTCACATAGAAAGCCAGGCTGTGGCTGCTCATGTGCTTTCACCCCAGTGTTGTGAGGGGAAGAGACAGGAGTGGATTGCTGGGCTTGCTGGCATCACACCTGATCACACCACACCTGGCAGCACCACACCTGGCAGCACCACACCTGGCAGCACTACACCTGACAGCACCACACCTGGCAGCACCACACCTGGCAGCACTACACCTGACAGCACCACACCTGGCAGCACCACACCTGGCAGCATCACACCTAACCACACCACACCTGGCAGCACCACACCTGACCACACCACACCTGACAGCACCACACCTGACAGCACCACCCCTGACAGCACCACACCTGACCACACCACACCTGGCAGCACCACACCTGACCACATCACACCTGATCACACCACACCTGGCAGCACTACACCTGACCACACCACACCTGGCAGCACTACACCTGACCACACCACACCTGGCAGCACTACACCTGACCACACCACACCTGGCAGCACTACACCTGACCACACCACACCTGGCAGCACTACACCTGGATGTTGTTTTTATGGTGGTGGGAGGCCAGATGTTCAGGATGAACCTGGGATTTTGGCCTCATTAGGGTCTTTCTATGCCATCCTGGCTGTCCTGGAACTTGCTATGTAGACCACACTGCACACTGGCCTTGAACTCAGAGACATTCTCTGCCTACAGAGTTCTGGCATTAAAGGCCTGTGCCATCGTGGTTGGCCAGGTTTTTTTCTTTTTGAGAGCTGTAATTTTTTTTTTGAGAGTTTTCCTGGCTCCTCTGACTCAGCGGGATATTGAGGGACCGCAGACGGCCTGCCTTGGAGAAGGGGTGTCCCTCCTTTACCACTATTCAGCTAACCATGCTTTTGGAACTGGCACTGTGCCCCACCCATGGAGGGGGAGTGGTTCATTGTTTTCTATTTTCCAGGCTGCTCTACTGCTCAGGATGCAATCACAGGTCCAAGCATGGTGAGAGGTCAGGAGCGGGGCTCCTTGACTGTGCGGTGCCGGTATAAGTCAAAGTGGAAGGATTACAAGAAGTACTGGTGCCAAGGAGCTGATTGGAGAACATGCGAGACTCTTGTCAAAACTGATGCTTCAGAAAAGCTGGTGAAGAAGAACCGTGTGTCCATCAGGGACAACCAGACAGACCTCATCTTCACAGTCACCCTGGAGGACCTGAGGATAAGCGACGCCGGCGTTTACTGGTGTGGGATTGACAGAGTTGGTTATGATCATATGTTTAAAGTTAATGTGAACATTGATCCAGGTAAGAGTTTGTGTACATCTCTTTAAGTGCCCTTTTTGGTCCCTCATGTCCCACCTAAAGGAATTAGCTGTCACCCGAGTAAACACTGCAGGAGGTGGAGTACTAAAGTCCCGCATAACCTTGATTGACTGTTTGGGGTTTGGACAGGGTTTCTCTTAAATGCCTCCGGACTGCCCGGCTTCCAGGCACTTCTCCTCTTCTCTGCACAGCTCCATCTTGAGTCTATGGCCAAGAGAGGATAGGGTGGTTGTTCCAGCTCCAGCTCATAGGCCAAAGATACCACTTCTTGTGGTTCCTTGAGTCTCCAGTAACTGCCAATGCTTTCCTGGAGTTCCATGGGAAGGGTGCCTTGCTCTCCAAGGAGCTCTTGGACTGACGCTGTGCTCATTGCCACTATTCGTCTTGAGGGAAACTGTACCAGCCTAGTTGGGGTGCTGTGGTCTCATTTCCAAGGTCTAGAAAGGCCTTTACACACAGTTGCATTTCTGATCTCCCAAGGAGCCCATTTGTGTCTCTTGTCTAATGACGTTCTCTGTGAGAGTCCTTCCAGAATGTAGAAACTCGTGGTGGTGGTGGTGGTGGGGGTCAGCTCAGAGGTCTTGGTACATACATCATCTTCTCTCTTGGACTCTGCTCTGCTACCCTCAGGCAGGCAACACCAGGTCTCAGGGCATTTTTAGGATACAGGTGGCAGATAAGAGCAGCGTTACGGTCACCAGGACTTCCTGAGGTTCAGTATGGTGCAAAACTTGCATTGTCTTGCTGAACCCCGACAATACCCTTGGAAAAGGCTGTTTCCGTTATTTAAACTTGTCCCAAGTAAAGTGTCTTAGAATTTTCTCTTTTTTGCCATCAAAGGGTTTTTATTTATTTTGTGTACATAGATAGGTGCTTTGTCTGTATGCATGTATGTGGTGCGTCAGGTGCCCATGGAGGCCAGGAGGGGGCATCAGATACCCTAGAACTGTAGTTACAGACGCTTGTGAGCCATCATGTAGGTGCTGGGAACTGAACCTGGGTCCTCTGTAAGAACATCCCTGTCTGCTCCTGTCCTTGCCTGATAAAGTCGGAGCAAGGCACTGGCTGAGGCATTGTCATGGCAGTTGGGGTATTCAGCTGGGCTGCAGCTGCCCTTGTTCTGAGGCTCTCCCTGGCTCCATCCAGAGCTCCACATCCTCCCTGGCCTTGTGCCCAGCCCCACCTGCCTCAGAAGCGCTGGGCTGTCTTGGAGGTCAAGAGGGTGCTGGTGGTTCAGCTATAGTTGCTTGCCCCGCCCTGCTCCAGAGTCCTCTGTCTGGGATGGCCCGCACTCGCACACAGGCTCAGAGCAAGAGCATACTGTGAGTGGGTGGCTGGAATAGTGTTCAAATCTGTCTTATGCCAAGCACCCCAAGCACCCACTACAGTGTTGACCACGCTCCCCACCACCTCCACCACCACCATGTTCACAGAGAGCGGTGCTGTAAATGGGACCAGCAGTTTCCCACAGAGGAGCAGCCCCTACTCCACCCTCAGGTAAGCCAGTTTGGATGTTGCTGTCCTCTGTGGTCTAGTTAGTCCCAAATCTTCCAAGAGTGGAGTCTTTGAAGTCTCAAGCTCCATATGTAGAGTTAAGGATGCTGGCCCTCTCAACTTGCCTTCAGTTCCCAGTTAGCCCTCACCCCGGAACAAAAGGTAGTTTGTACGTTTGTTGGTTCATTTATTCTTTCTTTCATCTTACTTTAACAGGGGCTAATTTCTTTCTGGTAGGCAAGTGTTGGGTTCTAGAGACATGCAGTGCTGGGGGAGGGGGAGAGATATTCCTAGGGAGTCAGCAAGGACTGGTGGCTGGTGTGTGTGTGTGTGTGTGTGTGTGTGTGTGTGGCCCAGACAACCTTCAGTCACCATCTTATTTATTTATTTATTTATTTATTTATTTATTTATTTATTTGAGTCAGAGTCTCTCCTAGGCTGGAACTCACTCCAAGTAGTCTAGCCTGGCTGGCCAGGAAGCTCCCAGCCTCCTCCTCTTGTCTCCACCTCTTGGTACTAAGATTACAGGAGGATACACCATGTCTGGTTTTTTAATTGTAGGTTCTAGGGGAACTCAGGACTTCATACTTGTAAATCAAGTACTTTTTTTTTTGTTTTGGTTTTGGAGACAGGGTTTCTCTGTGTAGCCTTGGAGGCTGTCCTGGCACTCACTCTGTAGTCCAGGCTGGAACGGCGGCTCAAGTACTTTCTTGACTGAGCCGTCTCCTCTCCATGTCTTCTCACGGAGACTGCTGGCATTAGATTAAAGCCCATTCCCATGACTCACTATAAGACCCATCTTCAAATACAGCCACAGCTACCAAAGGGAGAGTCAGTCCCAAGACTTTCTTCTAACTTCTGTGGCTGGCAGCAATGTTTTTTTTATTCATATATTTTTAGAAAATATTTATTTATTTTATTTTTTGTATATGAGTGCTTGCTTCTATGTATGTCTGTGTACCCACTGGTATCTGGTACCCTTGGGTCCCCTGGAACTGGACAGTTGTGAGCTGCCATGTGCAGGTACTGGAGAGGGAAACTGGGTCCTTTGCAAGAACAGCAAGTAGTCTTAACCACTGACCACCTCTCCAGCCCTGGTTGGCAGCAATGTTGATGTTTCTTGACTTTGTGGCTGTATTATTCCAGTTCCTGTCCCTGTTGTATGGTTTCTCCCTATATGTGTTCAAATTTCTCTCCCTCTAAGGAGTGGTGGCACACACCTGTAATCCTGGCACTTAGGAAGCAGAGGCAGGAACGTCAGGAGCTCAAGGTCATCCTCATCTCCATATTGATTTTGAGGTTAGCCTGGGCTACCTGAGATTCTGTCTGAAGAAAACAAAAGCAATGAACCAACAACCAATGGGCTACTTGAGATTCTGTCTTAAAAAAACCCAAACCAGTGAAACAATAACCAATGACGGCAAAAAAACAACAACAACAAAAAAAAACAAAAACAAGAGGACTCAAACAAAAACAAACAGCCAAACCATGACAACGATAATGGACATTGAGCTGGCCTAGATGCCACATGGTTTTACTTAAATTTGGTCACTTCGGCAAAGGCCCTCCTTTTTTTTTTTTTTTTTTTTTTTTTTGAGTCAGGGTTTTTCTGTGTAGCCCTGGCTGTCCTGGAACTCACTCTGTAGACCAGGCTGGCCTCAATCTCAGAAATCAGTCTGCCTCTGCCTCCTGACTGCTGGGATTAAAGACGTGCCCCACTACAGCCTGACTAAGCAATGATAAACACAACTTTTGACAGACACAGTTCAGTCTGTAGTGAGGGCAGGCATAGGATCTGGGAAGCCTGACTCAAGCCTCTGGTTGTGCAGTTCTTGCTGGGCTTCTAGACACAGCCTGTGAAGGAACCCAGCATGAGGTCCCCTGACTGGAAATCACAGTTCTGCAGGCAATATGGTGTTGGTCCTGCCTCTGCCATCAGGTGGCTGGGATTGGGCGCAGAGGATGGGAGGCACAGGCCTGGGTGCTATGTCTTCTGCAGTTCCAGTCCTGATGGTAGCGGTGATGGTGGTGACAGCGATGACGGTGGTGACAGCGACGGTGGCAGCGGAGGCAGTGGTCTTTTGGATCTCAGTGTGCTCCTCCCGGTTATCTCTGCGGTGCTGTTGCTTCTCTTGCTGGTGGCCTCGCTCTTCGCTTGGAGGATGGTGAGGAGACAGAATAAAGGTGAGTGTTGGGGCTGGTTGGATGGTGTGGGCTGACGGCTGGCATTGCTGTGTGACAGCTGGCCTCAGAAACTATCCAAGCAGTCTGGGAGAGGCTGTGCCAGAAAGGCCACCAACAGCTGGCAGTCTGAGAGGCTGCAGGTGATCTGGAACTCCACTGGGAAGATTTGGAGTCAGCTGCCTGCCCTGACATCCTTGCTCCTGTCTGATCTGCCTCGTCTCTGTTTCCTAGTATGGGTCAAGGGGGAAGAAGTAGCAATGGCTTTAGGAGGGCAGCCCGCTAACCCGCTCTGGGGAGATGTGGTTGTGAAGGAGGTGCCGAGCTCACACGGGAGAAGGAAGACACACACACACACACACACACACACACACACACACACACCACACACACACACACACACACACACACACACACACACCACACACACACAACACACATACACCACACACATACACCACACACATACACACACACCACACACCCACATACACACACACATACATACCACACACACACACACACACACACACACAACACACACACACATAACACACACACACACACACACACCACACACACACACACACACACACACACACACACACAGGAGTATGGGTGCATGTGTGCTCTACACATACATTCATGAGTATGTGTTTCCCGGCATGAGGAGCATCAGTGTGACTCCAGCTTCTGCTTCTCCCCTGCCCATCAGCCCCTTCTCAGCCTGTCCTACGTGTTCTATGCCCCTGCTTTTCAGAGAAGAGAGCCCCTTCTCTCAGAATCACAAGGTCTCTCAGATCACAAGGTCTGGCCTCAACCAAGCCCTTTCCTGTCTGGCTTCACTTCCACATTTTCAAGTAGTTGTAGAATGTTTCTCAGAATGCCCAAGGACCTGAGGTCAGCCCACCCCCCCTCCCTCCATCCCCGACTCCACCCCCATCCCTACTCCATCCCCACCCTGAGTCTAGGAGTGCGTTTTTTTTCTTGTTGTTCCAAGACAGAATGAGTTCCAGGACTATACACAGTGAAACCCTCTCTCAAAAAACAAAAACAAAACAAAACAAAAACAAAAAAGGGGCAGGGTTTCACAGTGTGTGTCAGGCTGTCCCGGAACTCACTCTGTAGACCAGGGTGGCCTTAAACTCACAGAAATCCACCAGCCTCTGCCTCCTGAGTGCTGGGATTAAGGGTGTGTGCCACCACACCTGGCTAGACCGGGTTCTTTTTAAAACTTAATAATAATTTTAAATTGTGTGTGTGTGTGTGTGTGTGTGTGTGCATGTGGGCGCGCATTCGAGCACCCACATGTGCTTACATACCATAGCACACGTGTGGAGATCAGAGGACAACTTGCTGGAGTTGGTTTTTTCCTACTATGTGGGTTCTGAGAATTAGCTCTGGATGTCAGGTCCATGGCAAGCACCTTTGCTCTCCGAGCCATCCTGCTGGCCCTGGGACCCTGGTTCTTATTCATCCCTTCTGCTCCCAAATTTGTTGACTGAGACCCAAGTTTAAGTATTTTCTGTATTCCTAGGTGTCAGGTCATTTGATACTAAGAACTGGGGGTAATCCTTTATTTCTTGTTTTTTTTTTTTTTTTTTTTTTGTCTCCAGAGGCAGGGGTGGGATGTAGGCAGGGATGTAGGAAGGGTAGAAAAAAAAATTACGAACCCCAGCATTCTCTCTTTCCCCCACTTTTCCCCCATTCTCTCTTTCCACACCACACTGGCCCAGCCTGGGCATCCTAGCTGGGGCAGAGTGCACAGCTGTCAGCCAAGCATTTGCAGGAGGCAGGGCCAGGCACCCGTGGCTCAGAGCCTGGCTGGAGACAATCAGAATTCAGTATTAGATGAAGGTGGTGTGATGGGTGAGTGCCACGAGAGGAAGGAGGGCCAGATGGTCCAGGTGCTAGTAAGGACAGGCATGACCTTGAAGCAGCGGCCTTGTAGGATGTGTCAGGTGGAGGAATGATGGCCTAACAAGCAAAGACATGAATGAAACCCAGGATCCTGCAGGGAGAATCTCAGCTCTAGGAGAGTGGAGAGCTGGTAAGGCCACCCAGGGGTCATTTGCATAGTTCTGTGAAGTCGGGCACAAGTAGGTTAAGGTCTCTTTTTCTGGTGGAGAAATGGAAACTCTCACCTCAGAAAAGGTGAGAGTTTACAGAGTGTTACAGAGAGTCACAGAGAGTCAGAATTTGAAACCAGATCTCCTGCCTCTGCCTCTGCCTCTGCCACCCCACCCAGATTCTCTTCTTTGCATGTAAGGTCCTTGCAAGTCTCAAGGATAGGTTTTCTAATTTCAGATTTTTTTTTTTCCCTTTTAGCTGCTGGGCCACACTCAGAGCAGGTAAGTGTCCAGAGGCCAGACAAGAGGGACCAGCAGGCTTCTTGCCTTCTTTCCTTATTTTCTCCCTCCTGGGAGCCTTTATGTCCAAATGCATCAGATAAGCCACATTCCAAAGTACCTACAGACTCCTGGCCCCTGCAGGTCTGGGGAGATGAGGGACCTCGAAACAGCCAGAGGGAGGAGGATGAGGGATCTAGAAACAGCCAGAGGGGAGGAGGCCTGGGTAGATAAAGGAGTTGGGGACGGGGAGCATAAGGAGCTGGGGCGGGGTCACAGGAAAGCCTGTCCTACTGCAAAAGCAGAATCTATTTCCGAAGGCTAGTTCTGTAACTTGTACATCCTGTGCCCCCCACCCCAGGTATCTCAGTCTCTGGAGGGCGATGTCTGTTATGCAAACCTGTCCCTTCAGCAGCCCAGACCCTCCCATGGCTCCTCTCAGAAAAAGGGCTCCTCCATGTCGTCCTCTGGCAAGGCCCACCAAGAGGAAGTGGAATATGTCACCATGGTATGTCCTTCATGGGGCTGTGGGGATGCCAGCCTGCCACTGCCCCACCCCCTTGGAAAGTGAACTCTGCCCATGTGGACACAGCTGGTGAGGGGGAGGTCTGAGCAGGCCCAGCAGGTTTCAGAAGTGTTCCCACACCACATCCCAAGCCTGCAGACTTGGGCCTGTCCAGTGTGGTCCTGACACTGGACAGGGAAGAGCCACGTTGCTCAAGTGACTCAGGGTCCTGTAGGAAGTGGTTCTCCGGGCAGAGGTGGGGCTTTCTTATGTTGTGGCTGAAGGTTATTTGGGGGTACCTGACGGACTGGAGGGAAGCTGGAACCCTGACCCACCTCCTCTGAGGACTTTTTTGTTTCATCGGGTGGCCGCTGTTTCTCTCCAGCCTCTGTGACCTTGTGACCCTCTGTATCACAGGCTCCCTTTCCCAGGGAGGAGATTTCCTATGCAGCTCTGACTTTGGCAGCCTTGGGTCAGGAGCCCATTTACAACAACACTGGTTCCTCACTGGTCACTCACATTCCCAGCACCACCTTTGAGGAGTCTACGCAATATTGCAGCATCAAGAGGCCCTAGCCGGGGGCCATGCCTCGATCTTGGTCCCCGAAGAAGTGCTGGGATGCAATGCATGTCCCTAGACATCTGCCTCTGTTCCTGTGGACTCCAGCTCCGTCCGTCCAGCCCTCATGGCCTTTAGCTCTGCCTTGAGCTCGGGCTCCTGCCTCAGGGTGTTCCAGTGAATCAAGTGTCTCTCCACATCCCCTCTTACTGCCAAGGTACCTTGGAAGTTGCTACGGAAGGAGGCTGCTCAGGGATGCTGTGTAAATCCTGACAATGATAACAATAGTGATAATAGCAATTAACCTCTATTGTTTATTATATGGCCTCCAAAGACATTCTCATCCTAATGCCCACAATCTGTGCATTATCTTATACATCGAAAGACTGGTGCACATGTGTTTAAGTTAGGATTTCGAGATGATTTTGTATCATCCAAGTAGGCCCAAAATAAGACCACAAGGGTCCCTCTAAAGAGAAATAGAGCAAGTCTAAAAAAGAGGATGCATGGTGGGAACAGAAGTGATGCAGCAGGAACCAGGATGCTGCAGTCTCCAGGAGCCAAAGAAGGCACTCGAGTAGGCGAGTATCAGACTGTCTCCTGGGTTGGACCTCCAAGACGAACTGGGCCTGAACTGAGTGGAACTGTATACTGTGGCTTTCAGAATCGTAGAAGAATAAAGTTGTGTTTTTTTTTTTTTTTTATTTATTTTCTTCTTTTTTTTTTTTTTTTTGAGCTAGGGTCTCTCTACATCACCCTAGATGTCCTAGAACTATATAGACTGTTTTAGTCACTATATAGACCAGGCTGGCCTCCAGCTCATAGAGATCTACCTGCTCCTGCCTCTCAGTGCTGGCACTGGAGGCTTGCACCACTGCCACCTGGCTAACTGCATTGTTTTAAATTAAGCCCTTGGATGAGTGTTACAAGGGCTGCAGGGAGTAACAGGGCAGGTGTCCGTCTCTAACTGCTTTACATACGGTATCATGCTTTCGTAAGGGTGCTTCTCTCACCATCCCGTTCTGCAGGTGAGGAACCCATCATGTAGTGAGGCTAAGATGCTTTGTGTCACGCTTTATGGTTAGTAAGCACATGAGGTGGATTTCAACCCAGAATGGGCTCCAGGGTCTGGCGTCTCCGCCAGTACCCTACCCTGTTTGTACACGGAGGAAAGGGTTGATGTGCATGTGTGGGCACATACATATACATGCATGTGTACATACAGCTACTTAAGACAGAATAGTGTTTCTAGACACTGGGCTTGGTGCCTTTATCCTGGGGTCCTAATTCCTCTCCTCAGAATACATCCTTGGTGTCATGGTGTTGCAGCCTAGACCAAGCAACCCTCTCATCTCGGCCTGTTTTCTTTGCCTTCTCTGCCCATGTTAATTCTTTCCCCAGCAGTCAGAGTAGTCCATTCAAAGCTCAGAGCTGATGGCTCCTGTCTTATGACCTCCATGGCCTCTTCCTCTGCCTTTGAGGTCCCAGGGAACCCACGGACTCCTGCTTGCCTCATGACGCCCATCTCTGTCTACTCCATTCCACTCTGTCCAGACCATACCAGCCTCTCCTCTTTCCTTACCAGATGCTACAGTTTGGGTCTGGAATGTCTCCTAAGGGCCAAGTGCTAAAGGCTGCTGGGAGCCTTTATCATTTATTACAGAAGTAGCTATTAATGTTCTAGGTATCACCCAACCAGAATTAACTTCTGATGGAGAAAACTTGCCTTGCAAAGTCTGCAAGAACTACAGACTCCAGAATATTTGTTGCTATGAATTTGGCTGTATAATCTTGATATATAGAATATATACTGGGCGCTTTATATTCTCAAAAAGGCTCCAGAGAAAGGAAATTCCTTCTCACCGGGGCGTCAGCGGTAAGAGCTGTAGCCTCGAGATCTCACATAGCTAGCCCCCTACTCCATTTAACCCTCCCCCACCTCTTAAGTTTGCTCACACGTTTTATAAATCACATCCTCTCTGAGACTTAAGTTTGCACAGACGTTTTACAAGTCACGCCTCCTCACTTTTGTCAAGACCTTATCTGCCTTCCTGGCTCTGGGAGATATGCATGCCTGGTATCCTTGCCATCGCCAGAGAATTGCCAATTGTGTCTGTGGGTATATAAACTGGAAACCTTGTGGGATCCAGGAGAATTTTTAAGAAGAACTTCTAGAGAAAACTTTAAGGGAGACCTTTTAGAGAAAGAACTTCTGAGGAGAAACATTAAAGAGAGCCTTTTGAGAGAGAACTTCAGGGGAAGAACTTTTTTGAAGAATAAAGAGCCATGAGAAGAATGATAGGTGCATGAACTGATTCTTTGGCCTTTCAAACCTTTCTAGTCAGCCCTACCTGCCTGCATTAAGTCTTCTGCCTGAACCCTCCTTAAAAGGCTTGATCCCCAGGCTGTGGGACTATTGGGAGTCAGTGTAACCTTTCGAGGGCGGGGCCTAGTGGGAGGAAGTGATGCTGCTGGGAGTCTACCCTGGCCTCTCCTGTTTCTGCTTCCTGGTCACCTTGAATGGAGTCGCTTTTCTCTGCCACATGTACCCCACCAGAATATTCTGTCTAGCAACAGACACAAGGCGATGGAGCTAGGCAGCTGTGGATTAAAACCATGGACAACTAACTCTTTCTTCATTAAAAGTTATCATCTCAGATATTAAGTCAGTGCAATGGGAAGCTGACTAACGAAGTAAGCAAAGCCGTTCTCTCGGGGCTTGGCATTTGCCATCCCTTCTTTCTGAATGTTCCTCCTTCGGATTTTTAAATAGCTCCCTTTCATCATCACGTCTTGGCCCCCTACGGGCAGTTGCCCCTGCTCTTCTCCAGCTCCTCTCTGTCTCATTGTCCCATTTTATTTCTCAGTGCTGGGATCAAATACACTACAAAGAGAAACTTACAGCTTGAGGAGAGATAGCCCATTGGGGCTGGGAAGTCATGACATGAAGAGAGTGGGGCAGTTGCTCATATTGTACCCAGGGCCAGAAAGCAGAGAGAAGACAGGAAATGGGGCCAGGCTAAGAACCATCAGAACTCATTCCCAGTGATCCATTTCCTCTAGCTAGGCCCTACCTCAGTATCCCTCTCACTGGTGACCTACTTCCTCCAGCTGGACCTTAACTTCCTACTTGCCACCTCAAGGCCCACCCCAAGCTGAGAACCAAGTATTCAAAGACATGAGCCTAAGAGATTCTTTACATTCAAATCACACCCATGGGCTGCTTTGGGTCATTGATCATTTATTGATAAGTGGGTTTGTTTTCCCCCTGTCTCCACTAGGCCATATGCTACCTGTCATGGTCCTGTCTCATTTGTTAATGATTCTGTAGTGAGATATCCACCCGGCCCTCACCAAACGGGCGTGGTCACAGGTGCAGACATGATGGGGTGGGTTTAGGTCTGGGGTCGGGACAGGTGGCTGGCTCTCTCTAGCTTCTGGTCGGGTCTCAGAGGGCAGCCTGAGTGGATCCTTGGAGCCTGGAGCTTGCGGCGGTCACCCACTTCATGTGTAAGTGCATCCCCCCCCCCAATAAACTTCGCTTAACCCGAACTGAGTCTAGTGAATCTTGATTCCCACACAATGCAATTCCCTTCTGCTAATTAGTGGCTGGTGCATGAGGGGTTCTTAGATGTTTGCTGATTGACATAGTGAATAACAGATAAATATAGGTGGTTAGCGCTTGAGAACCCAGGGTGAACTAGAAGCCAGGATATTGAAGCCCATCATTTTAGGAAGGAAGCTGGCCAAACAATCGGGATTTCAAGACTGACTCCCCAGCATGGCTACGGAGAGACCTCCTTCTTCTCTTTTGTAAACGTGGGGAGGGGTAAGGAGCCATGGAGCCCTGTGATGGAGAAAAGGCATATTGGACTTGGGCTAGTTTTGGTGGGGGCTGAGGGTGAAGTGTCATGGAGAATGACAGGCAGGCCACCCAACAGTGCAGAGGCCAGAGAGGTATTCTGTGGCTGTTATTGGCACATCTTGTGGTTATTTGACTACTAACAGGTGTAGACACTGGAAGTGGACCTGGGTATGTGACCTTGGTGACCTTGGTATTGAGAGATCCTTCATTCACTGCTCCAAAGAGGGTTTTCTTAACTCTAAAGAGCTATTCTGATCCATCCTGGGGAAATTGCCCAATCCAATTGACTATTTTTCTTATTTTTAAAATTTTATTTATTTATGTATATGAGTGCTCTACCTGCATGTACACCTGCAGGCCAGAAGAGGGCATCAGATCCCATTACAGATGGTTGTGAGCCACCATGTGGTTGCTGGGAATTGAACTCAGGACCTCTGGAATGGCAGCCAGTGCTAACTGCTGAGCCATCTCTCTGGCCCTATTTTGTTCTATCTTAAAAATTACATTTATTTATTTATTTGTATGAGTGGGTACACGAGATGGCGCTCAGAGAACAATATGCAGGTAGCAGTTTTCTTCCCACCCTGTGGGTTTTGGAGATTGAACTCAGGTCTTCAGGCTTGAGTAGCAAATACTTCACCTGCTAAAGCATCCTGATAACCCCAAGCTTGACTATTCTATTTTTTGAGGTTTTATTTATTTTTATTTTATGTGTATAAATGTTTGCCTGAATGTATGTCTATGCTCCTTGTGTATACAGTACTTTGCATCAAATTCCCTGGGACTGGGGTTACAGGTGGTTGTGAGCCTCCATGTCAGTGCTGGGAACTGAACCCTGGTCCTCTGGAAGAGCAGCCAGTGCTCTTAACCACCAAGGCATCTGATCTCCCTAGCTCCAGACTTGACTATTCTTGAGTTGATCTTTTGGACTGTTTTGACCCAGGATGTTTTGAGACCTATGGAACAAGAAGTGCCTATATACAGATCTTTAGGTGGAACAGTTTAGAGCGAAGCAAAATGAGAGAGAGAGAGTTACAGTTCCATCTCCAAGCCCCAAGTCAGGGCATCACTTGGCACCTTGGCTATTGTGCATACAGCACTTTCATTTGGGGGTTTATTTTAAGCACCCTGTCCTAAACAGAGCATATAGACATATGCCCATGCAGCTCAGCAAGGGATTCATTTTTTTTTTTTTTTGCTG